GGTTAGATTTATCACCTCATGCGGATAGCTTTTCTTCAGCGACTGCCAAGATATCGGACTTCATATCCCACACATTTTCTCCCAAAAATAGGTAGAAGACTTCGTCGCGCATTTGCCTTTATCATATTCAAGCACCGTTTTCCTCGGAAATTAAACAAGGTAATGAGAAACTGTAGTTTATATGCCAGAAAACACGCGGGGAGGGCTGGGGGACCCACTGATGAGCCGAACCCCTCGCGACTGCGTCAGGCAGCGGCACAAGATCGACGAAGCATACGTGTCCGGGATTTTAGCTAGTACCTGTGTCGTCAGTATGATAAATAATTAAATATCTGTCCTTTCTTTGGTTTAATGAACTCAAATACGCTCGGTAAAACCAAAAACAATTCGATGTTTTGCGCCACAAAACATTTTCTCATGTTTAATTTAATGTCTGTTACTGTGACATATGCTAGCTAGTCAATCTAAGATTTTTGTGAGCCAGAAGCCTCGAGCATGATCTTGAATTTTTGACTTGCGATAACTCGAATTGCAGTCTTTTGCGCTTTGACGATTCCATAAGGATGGATTCGGTTTGTAGGCTCTTGACTGCCTCAATATCATTATATCGCCATTTTATTTACTTCATATGTTCAATTTTCTTACTTGTAAATATACTTTATTTTGGTACAACTTTTCAGACAAAATAAAGTCATTATTTGGATCACCGATACTTAGAATAAAACAGCGTAAACTCCTTTAACCTAGAAAATATGAGCTGGTTATTGTGCGCTTCATTATCAAACACTCAAATCCTGAAATATGGAAAGGCTCCCCGGTTCTGACAGCCTAACCAATTCAAAGTTGCCAACGCCTGAGGCTGTGGGCACCAGTGGTCGCTGTCTGGAAATCCATTACACTAACTGTCAGAGTCTCCTCAACAAGCTAAAATAACTTAGATTAGTAGTCTCTGAACAGAAGCCTCACATAATTGTCCTAACAGAGACATGGTTGATTGAGGAAATAAGTTGTAGCGAAGTCAGTATTGGAGGCTACCAAGGGTTCCGTTGTGACAGATTTCACCGTAGAGGAGGAGGAGGAGGAGGCACAGCAATTTATGTGTCAAATGAAATTCCGTGCTGCCAACGAGAAATATTCGATGGGGCGTTGCGAAATTTCGAAATAAATTCACGCAAGATATGCATCAAACAATTACCGACACTTAACCTGTGTGTTGTCTATCGGCCTCCCAGCTCGAATGAAATCGCCGATATGGAATAACTTAGTGCACTGGAGTTGTTACGTAAGCAGGAAAACTTGCTAATTCTGGGTGACTTTAACGCTCTAGGAATACACTGGAAAATTCCCTTACCAAACGCCCCGTCCACGTCATTTGACCAGAAGCTACTACAGTCTCTGAATAAATACCCCATTCAACACATAAACTTCGGAACACGACTGAGAGAAGGACAACGATCTAACTGTTTAGATCTCGTATACGGTAAAGAAGGAGTCATGAGGGAAGTGAATCCACAACCCTCACTCGGCTTAAACGATCATATTGCTTTTACCGGTGTGTGCTCTCTCCTATCGAACCAACAACCAAAAACCAAGGGGCGCAGAAATATTTGGAAGGGTGACTTTAACGCAATGAGACGCACTCTTTTGGAGGAAATCTGGTTTGTCGACATGGAAGATTCAGAAGAATACTAGCAGTACTTTCGAGGGATTTTAGAGCGTCTAATTGACCCCCATTGTTCAATAAAAATTACAAGACAATGTGCGCGATGACAAAAAAGACCATGCAGAAAAAGTATTTGCATCTTCGAGACCCAACGTAATTCGCCAAATTTAAGGAGCAGCGCAGTAAGTGCCGCAAACAAATACGGGTTGCTAGAACTTTTTTCGAGCGCCGACTGATACCAGAACCCATTACATGTCCCAAGAAGTTTTACTGGTACATCCGCAGTAGGAGAAAACATAAGGACGAAATTGCGTGTCTAAAGGAAGGCCTCGGAAACTTATTAGGTGAAGGGCCACGGAAAGTGCGAGTACTGTCTCAGTTTTTTCAATCGGTTTTTACGGAGGTTTCCTCAGAAGACAATCAACAGTTTGAAATGGACCGAGACAGTCGGGAGCATTAAATGCGCCAAGATACTGCCGTCCTTTGAACCGTTGCCTTCTCCGTCGGAGAAGTAAGACGCGTCCTCAGTCAAATAAAACCAGATAAGTTTCCTGGACCCGACGGTATTCCTGGGTTGATACTTAAGGAGCTATCAACGGAGCTGTCAAGGCCTCTTTCGACTCTCTTTGAGCTGTCAATGAGAACAGGAAGGTTGCCATCACAGTGTAAGACAGTTAACCTCGTTCCCTTACATAAGCGAGGTAGCAGGATGGCAGCAAGCAGTTTCTGGTCTATTAGCTTAATCTGCCTCTTATGCAAAACTATAGAAGCTCTAGTAAAGAGTGCTATACAGCGATTTTGTGAAGAAAATAACATCTGGCAGGATTTTCAGCATAGCTTCCGGAGAGGATGTTTCTGCCTCTCAAATCTGCTAGCTTGTCTGGAGATCTGGACCAGGGCTCTGGATAAGCCGTAGGAAGTTTTCATTCAGCCAGCGGGTTGTGCGGTCACCGAACTCGCTATCAAGAGAGACCATGACGATCGACAAAATTTTCATGTTTAAAAGGAAACCTGCTCGCTTGATTTTCGATAGAAACCGGCTTTTACAACATGACTATTCACGACCAACTCTGTAAAACACTGTCATGCACAATCTTTCCTTACTGACTTACAGTGAACAGATGCGCTTCCTTAGTATTACGATTGTACTGTGACCCGATCACATTGTAAATGTCTGCAACTTTATTTTCAGTACGAATCTGCGAAAACATTGTACATAAATAGGGTCATCAAGGACTTTGCCTCTAACCCTTCCAATACATACCTACATAAAACGGAATGGCGTGAAGGATGCATTGTTAAGAGAGAGAGAGAGAGAGAGAGAGAGAGAGAGAGAGAGAGAGAGAGAGAGAGAGAGAGAGGAAAACTTTATTTTAAAAATAACTTTCAAAACTTTCAGCAAAAACGGTTCTCCAGTGCACAGTGATTACCATAGAGATTAACAGGTATTAGACAGGTGGACATAATTATATATGAAGAAAAAAGGACTTTAAGGTGCAAGATCGAGTTTTAGTTTTTGTTTTTCAACATCTTTGCAGGTGAGATACCGGGCTAGAAATGGCAGTATGGAATTCCTATAGGCCGAAGTGCGGCAAGGGATGTGGCGGAAGCATCGACGCATGGGGCGTAAGGATTTCGCAGCCGTTAACTCATTATGAAGGGGATGGACGGTGTCATTCAGAATTCGGTCAGCGAATTGCTCAACCGAGTTGAAGTGTCGCTGCACGATGATATCAACTAAAATATGATAGGAAACACCAGCAGCAGAGGCGAGCATTCGAATGACACGTTTAAAAATAATTAGATCGTTTTTTAAGTAAAGCTGGAAAAATAACTGGAGAACAATAAAGAATGAGTGGAAGAATACAGCCTTCTATGAATCGCCAGATTAAGGACTGGGGTGTGTGATATGGACGTAGACGACGAATGTAATAAACAAGTTTTTGAATTTTTGTTAAAAGGGTTTCCATATGAAGAGAGAAAGAGAGATTTGAGGATAAAGTAACACCTTCGTCGCCCATCTCCAACTCTCCCCCTGGATCGACCTTACCGAAACGGCTGTCGAACAACACCTTTTTGGCTTTTCCTGTGATGAGGACGTTTCCGGACTCCAACCCCAGGGCGCCATTCCCTACGACCTCTCCACGACCTCCATCACCCTCTTTTGCCCCAATCCCTCAGCCGTAATGTCTTCTCCTCCCCACACAGCATCCCTCACCTTAGGAGTCGAACAGTTGACAATTTAGCGCTCGATCCTTTCCTCTGGCTAGGGATACACAAGGGTTTCAATGTCTGAACATGAGCAGGTGGATCAACTCATTGTAAAATTTAATTTATAGGCACAATAAGCGGTGGATTTCCGGCAGTTCAGCTAACAAACAAAAATAAAGATAATCTGTCGCTCGTACACACAGCAAAGAATCAAATTCTATACATCCAAAGGAAGACACCAGCAGGCAAAAAGGGCAATGCGTGAAAAGATAACTTCGAACAGCAAGTGTGCACGTTTTTTACAGTATTTAAAAGAACGAAGTAATGCACTAGGGACTGTACCGCTCAAGGGAACTGGCAGGATTGTTCAAATAGACTGAAGTTACTTTTAGTGGGAAAAATGTACCAGCTTCTTATCGAAAATGATCGGTGCCCCTTCCTTCGCAGTCTATGAAATCCCCTTCCCGTAACACACTTTACCACTTTGACATGATTCTCTTTAGCACCCTCACAACCCTTCCCACAGTTGACCGATGGAACTTCTCTCAGGACCGATAGTTTGATTGGCACGTCGGCGTCACCTCCCCATCCGACTAGATCACTCCGTGCTATCACAGACTAGTTTCCTGTATTTTCCACTGTTGTAATACATCTTAAGCTTGTCCTATCGTTGGTAAAATTTTCAAATGTACCTAACTTCTCTTACACTAGCCGTTAGTACGTTCGCGATAACATGTCTCACAAGTCTACTCAATTATTTACGGATTGGGATCTGTTCAAGGTGCGCCACATAACTTCGTCTGTGACTCCCTCAGCGTCTTCGGACGCTATGGCGCTAGGGCATATTCAAATTCCCAGCAGACGAGCAGAGGCGAGGCACACAAAGCTAACGGCAGGTTCAGACAATACGAAGGCGGACACGTCAGTCTCAATATTTGACGGGCTTGGTTTACTGCCGCTTGTGACATTCGTTTGTCGAAAGCTACTTATTTTGGCATGCCATTTTACCTTCTGGATTTGTTTTAGGCTATTGTTTAAACTCAGTTTCTTGGTTCTGCAGGTTGCAAAAACAGGCTCGGTGCTGGCTGCTGACTCCGTATGGTGAGGCTAACCAGTCGTGTTCTCGATGGCCACCGCGGATGATTGCAAGTCTTTATTCGACTATTTGAAGACCATCGATGCCAACGAACTTGATGCACTTTATGGACATCCCCCAACATGTCTTATTGTCTTTAGGTTTGACTCGCATCGAGACTAGCTCTTTTTTCAGAGAACTTTCGGAACTGGCAAAACATTTGGTCCTCCGACTGTTATTTCTTGAGCAGACAATCCCAAAAGCAATCGTTGCCGGTTGGGTAGCAAAGGGATCACAGGATGTTTTTCAGCAAGCATGCAAAGACCTCGGCGACCTCCGTATTTGGCACAGCATTGATAGCAACACCTCGCGAGGATCTTGGCGCCTAAATAAAAAATTTCAAGATTCCATGAGAATATCTCTATTTGGAGGGTAATGGAATCGCCCCTTTCACATCTTTAGGGGCCAACGGTTACTTAGTGATTTGGGGTCAGAAACGGCGGAAAAACATCCTAAGGATGTAGAATTCTTGGATAATTACGCTGCAGAACGCTGGGATGTAAACATTGCTCTTACTCTTTAAAAACCAGTCAATCCTACATTTTATGGTAGGATCCGATTCCGGTGAAGTTGGAATTTGTATAAGGAAAGTTCTCTTACTTTCTGGCCTGATGAAAAGGTGACAACGTTTTTGATGAAATATTTTTTGTTAGGGGAGGATCGGACTCCACCATCGGAATAACACAACGTGGTTTTCAATTTCTACTGATGGATAAGCCTTCCCAAGTTTTGCGCTTCATTTTGCATTATTTCAATTACCTCAGGGTAAGATCTCATTGTATTCTAACGTCTTCAGGAAGAAGGCCTAAACCTGGTTGAGTCGCTGCAGTTTGTTTTCCAGTTGAGTTTCTTGTCCATCGGAAAGGTAAGCAGTTTTGCGCTCAAGTACTTGGAGAATATATTGATCATAACCTCCCACCAAGTACCCTGAATTTCTGTACTGTTTTGGCCATCTGTGAGATAGTATACATGTCCTAGTACTATTTGTGTGAGGGCAGACTTCGAGGTCATCTGCCGGTCTTTGGATTAAGTAACCGTCTCTCCGAGTGCGTCCCTATCCTCGCATCGAAGATTTTGGCGCCATAATTTAGCATGTGAACCAACTTTTGGATGCGGATCTTTGTACTATTTTCTCTAACCGCGGTAACGTATCAAACCTAAGCAGTTGGGAGTGTTTTAATGTCGGCTGCCCATCATATCGTCCTTCAGATATATATATATATATATATATGTTTATATATATATATAATATGTACGCGAATGACGCCAAACATTTTGACGCATCCTTATCCATATCTCGTTATGCGTGCAGTCATCTGGGTCACGATTTTGTCTAGGCATTACTCCACTTGCAACAGTAACGCTTTTACCAGTTGTGAATTTAACCGAAGAGGGGAACGCCGGGTAACATTAAAGAGGCAACCCATTTTGGTCAGCCGTTTCCGATAAATCAGGCAGAAAACTTGTCCGTTTGTAGCGTTGATTCAGTGCGACGGTTGCCTCGTATCACTGAACGCTGTTCCCTTATTGCTGTACTATAGAGTCTGCTGATACTGTCCTTCTGTGTGCTGTCTTGCCGCACCGCAATCCATGTTCCTTTGTCTGTATTGCATTCGATTTTAAGTCAGTAGCTTGCAAGATTAGTGACAACTTCAAGCCACTTCTGGCTTCATAACCAAAGTTAGTTTGTAGACGTCCCTGTTATGGTCCTTATCTGTGACGGTTCCTCTTTTCCGCGTCTCCAGTTGCTAGCGGGGATGCTTGTGTGGAAATCAAAGTCAGATATTCCGATTTTCGGGGGATGTAGGAAAACACACCGCCTCCCTAGTGCATGCATAGACTGGGTTAGTAGTCAAAATTCCCAGCCTAAGTGACCAACAGTGGCAATTCTTCTGTTGTGTATCTGGTATACTCGAAATTGTAGGCAAGTGTCGCCCTTGAAGTGTGTTTTGAGCTGCATTACCGCTTTGGTAGATAACTTAGTTTCTTCACTTATTCTTCTCGCAAAATTGTAATCTTAGTTTCTGTTAAGAAAAAATTGCACAAGATGGACTCCGCGACGGCGCATTTGAGCACACGTCTAATCGAGTTTTTCTCCAGTTTTGCTGTCAGAAATGCCCAGCTCTCTTCTAATGTTTAGTGTGATTACACTGCGAAGTACATGTGGTCAATGTAGACTGTCAGCCACAAATATCCCCAAACCCTCATGACCACAGTTCAGAAGTGTAAAATTAACAGCGACTGATGCGAGCAGAGCTCAACTATTTTATTTTCTTTGTTTGTTTATAACTTTTCTAAATTTTGGAATCGCTCGAACCCATGAACGTGTGTTTTACGTGCTGACGCCATCATTCGTGCCATTCTTGGTTACAAGATTCTAGAAAACACGAAATTCCCAACGACTTAGACTTTTGTCCCATTTTATGATTTCCTAGCATTTAACAATCTGAAATTACCAGTTACCCATATCTTCCCGAGACTTTTTTGTTGTATTCCAACCTTTCGTCTGAACTGAGTTTTTTTACTTTTCCCGCCATCCTGCGCCCATGGTCACGACCTTCTGTTAGTCAGCTGAAGGCTTGCCAATTATATTACTTCGACTCTCTGAATATATCCATTTGTCGGGAATAATTTTTCTGTTAAAAATTCAAGCGTGCTACTACCATGCATTCTGATTGTTAGTTTTAATGTCTAGAGTTACCCCACCGAGGTGCTGTCGGACGCTCAGCAAAATCTTCTGCAGCACATGAGAGAACTTGGTCTGGCCTATCAACGCAAGCGCACGGCGCCTAGGTTCTACGTCACTCGACTAGCACTCAGTCTCTCTTTCGGTTCTTTGAGCGGCGGTAGAACCTCCAAAGGTATCGGTAATATCTCGGGTGGTCTGTCTGTCGCACCAGGCGTAGCCACGGCAACAGACTCGGATCCAATGAGTTTATTGCCCACGGGTGTGTCTGCCCCTGGCTTGAGATCAGTGAGATCGCTCTCCTTATCAACTACTCTCGCACATCCTGCCCCGGCTGCCGTCGCTGAGGTCGGTTACATTCTGGTTGAAACAAACTTCCGGCTCTACGCCTACACAGGTCAGCAAGTATGCTGTACCTCGTTTTCCCATTTGAGTGAATAACTTTGGCCTAGTTTCTAGTTCAAAATAATATCAATCCTGAAAGTCGTATTACCTATTGGCATTCGGTTTTTAGTCCTAAACCAATAATCCCCGGTTATCAGGGACGTGGTCATAAAGAGTGAAGTCCATTCCTGTGCATTAATTAATTAATTAACAGGCGTGTATTTGAACTCGCCCGTTTTTGGAAATGCACGACCCAGTCTACGCATATTCGTTTTGACTGGACCGAATGTTGGGTAGACAGATAAATAACTGTGCATATAGGTCAGGTGGATATACCAGTTCCTGTCAGACAAGGTTGCACAAGCCCCGTTAAGGAAATAGTGACCCTGCAGTAATGCTGTCGCTGCCACAGTTTTTATAGTTATCACTACCATTGGTAGAAGGAAGCCAAGCCTGCTATGTCTCCACGTTCACACAACCTCTTTTCCTTGCCAGATTCCCCTTTGAGAACAGCCCTGCTGAGCCTTTTCAGCAAAATTCGTGTCCGTTATCCCAATCTCGTGGTTGCGGACATAACCAGAGACTCGGTACGAGAAGCATTACTCCGGGGTATAAGTGCTAATCAGGTCAGTCGTTTGTCTTACTAGGCATATTCTAACGATATTTCGACTGTAGGAAGCATTTACTCATGTTAGACTAACGACGTTTTTTTTTCAGATAATCTCCTTTTTGACTACCAATGCGCACCCAGACATGCTTCGCCAGGTACGATTCCCCTACCATTGCTTTAACTCTTTCTGGGCTGCCGCTCTTTGGGTCTTGGCAAACCACATTTACCAACTATAAAAGTGCGCGGACAGATTGAGGACACTAGGCGCATAATACTGGCCAGCCTCCGTACACTTAAACTTGCTGCGACTGTGCTCATGCCTCACTGAACAGAAATATCGCGGATATTACCAACACAAATGCGACGACCAACTACAGCGGACTTGCGTAGCCCGGTGCACTCCCTCTAGCAGCAAAGACTTAATGCTACAGGTCCAAAAATAATGATGGACTGTGTCGAGTCAAGTCTCTAACCTATCTCTTCGCCTCTAGTTAGGAAATGGAATTAGGTAAGGGGCAGCAGTACTAAGTTTTTAGGGCGGACGACCAACGGACCCAAACTAAATAATTTGTCTCTTACACATGACCTGGGAAATTCAAATGACATTGCAGCGATTCTGGACCGCCTTATCTTAGACAAAGTTGGTGCACTTTACTCAACAGACACACCGTGGCGGATTATTAGTTGTTCAGTTCCCATTATTAGCGCACATTACCGCGCTACATAGCGTCCAGTTTTTGAAAATCGAACACTACTTTTGGTTCACTCGCGGACATCGCTATCCGCCCAGTCTATGGGCTTTCCATAGCACCTCCTCTCACACTGCGTTTTCTTCTATTTAGCCTTCTATTCTTCCGCCAACACTAATCGACCAAGTGCGCCTGTGGGAGCTTGAGCGCGAGCGTCTTTTCGCTCAAGAGGGCTGCCTCTATGAGCAATTTGCCAAAAACAAGGACTTCGAGATGGTCCGTGACTTTGCAAAGGTAAATTTATTAGGGTCGAACGAAGCTGCTTGTGCTTCAAAAGCTCACTACGAGTTCATACGGCTCGTTTTACCACACATTAGACAGGGAAACAAACAACTGACTGATAACCGTTCGCATAACTCGAGAGTTCTTCGAACAGTACCTGACCATTGTGTAAAACCCTTAGCCGATAAGGTGCCCGTTAGCCATTAAATTTCCGTTGGCACCCGGCCTCGTGCCATCTCTTGTTAAAAGTCCCCTAATTACAGATAGATCCTCACTAATGATAATTTCTGTTGAGTAAGTCAACTGGATCCACGTTGGACTACTCCATTTACTTTCAATGGCTAGGGGTCGTTCACGAAGACTTACACTGCGCCTTTGCTCACTAGGATTTTTAAGGTTTAACAGAAACCAAAATTGTTTAGTCCCTTACAGTGTTACAACCTCTGAACACAATTCTGACGTACCCGCTGCCTCTGTTTTAGAGTCAAGGCTTCCTTCTCTGGGAATGTCCTGATAGGCGACTTATGGTAGTCTCTAAAACCGGCCACGAGGACGTGCGAAAATTCTGGAGACAAAATCGCCCTTGACAATGTATATTCATGTACATCTTGCTGTTAAATATTTGCAGAAAAGACGCCTATTTTTGAAAAAAAGAGAACTGATCTTCTTATCTTCGCTGTACAAAACGCAGTATGCTTCCGTTCTTCAGATTTTCTTGGTCTTTTATGGGTCGTTTCTTATCAGTCAGTGGATGCGTTGAATTGGCCAAAACGGCCTCCAGAGCCCGAATCCGCCAGAACCGCTTCCAGTTTAACTTTTTTGTGTCCATTGGGGGCGGGTGGGCAAACGCGCTGACTATTGAGTTCACTCTTGGTGACTCCTCAAGTCTTCGTTTGTGACTCTTTTTCCTCTTCTTCTTTTTTTGGTGACACTTGCTATTTACCGGAGTTTGTTTTGAAAGACGACTGGAGCGGAGTTGTTCTATGTACTCGTTTGTAACATTGACCACGGCCTTGTAGATGTCACCTACTCGGCCATCTGAACGCACAACTATTGGCAATTGGACTCCGTCGGCTCTTTGAAGGAGAAGCCGGATGGCCTGTCAGACAAAAATATAAGCGTTTATGTATGGACAGAGCCATCCAATCTCGGCAGGCTTTGTGTTTATGGTAGCTTTTTGTGCCGGAGTGTGACCGAAAATGTTACTAGCGTGTATGGGAAACCCCCGAGGCTTTTGGACCACTCGTACCGTCAGAGGACTAATGACATACTACGAAAGGTATGCGCGATCAGTAATCTTGAGGCAGATTCTATCTGCAATCATAGTGCCTTGAGTGATAAGACAAAGAGGTGTTTTGGCGAGATCAGATATGGATGCTGTTACTTGGTACCAAAAGACTGACAGTTGTGTTTACTGTGCAATGACTTACCGTACTAACAACACAGGTATTAGCTAAAAGCCCAGACACGCGTGTTTCGCCGATCTTATGCCGCTGCCTAGCGCAGCTGCGGGGGGTTCGGCTCGTCAGTGGGTCCTCCAGCTTTTCCCTGTGTTTTCTGGTATATGAACTCCAGTTTCAACTTGCTTTGCCTTGCGGTTTGTGAATATTAAGCGGTTATTCCGCAGTAGCTGATGGATTTCAGCTCAAATATTCATATCAAAATTTGGAGCGTGCCTGAAAAGGCTCGTTTCGAAAGATTTACTCCAAGTTCGCGCATTAATTTCCTCGGAAATTAAACAAGGCAAGTTGTGTTTTCTGATCGTCCCTACTTCCAATTAATGTTACTCGGCCGAAGCTGTGATATGTATGCACCTGGCACGTGCCTTGATTCAGCACAAGACCCGGGACTGGTAGTAAATTCTACAAACCCAGGAACGACCAAGGAGTCCGCCCCAAAGCAGTTCACCTGTAAGCGTCACTTGATGTTGAAAAGGACTGCTGCGCTGGTTTAGATAAGACTAGTACTAAAGCTATTAATGTTACTCAGCCGTGAGAGTGGACTAGGATTACGTTAGCTTTGGGGCGGTGGGGCATTACCTGTCCATGATGGAGAGCAAGCGCGTCCTTTACTTGCTGTTCTGTAAGGTTTGTTGAGGAAGGCTTTGGAAAAAGGTATTCAAGGAACCGGTCATTTCGCACTAGCCTCCGTAATCGGTCATTAATTCGGTCTTGAAAACCGTGAAATCCGTCGATGAAATCTTCCGCCTTCTGACGAAGAAGAGTGACATGCAGGTCCGGCTCTGAGACCTCGGAATCAGGCTAAAAAGGAGGGTGGAAAAGAAAGGCATAACCAACAATATTGCTCTCCTTTGCTTTTTGTCTAGAACTGCTGATAATCCCGATCTCAACTAACATGACGACGAGCCCGTGGTTCAGTGGTTAGGATTTTCAACTTCTTTTCAGGAGAATGCGGGTTCTAGCCCCAGGGGTTGCGGGAATTTGAGGTTGGGTGTGGATAGCTGATGACGGTCAAAAAGCCGGAAACGGCCGCCACAGTCTCCTTTGTCTCTGTTGGTAGTGCTATTTCACCTATATTGCGCGCACCGCTGTGCGGCTGCTGACAGCGCTCGATAGAGGGCCCCAAGACAGGGAGACGGGTGAGTTCCATAGAGCGATCGGTGAGCGTCCTGCTGCCAATAAGGAAGGGCTCTTAAAAGAATCGAGTTGCACTCGTGAATTTTCAAGTTGGTGACACCAACCCGACGTGTGAAACACATGGATGGCTGATAACAGCTAGTAGCCAGAGATGACCATCCCAGTCTACCTCGTCTTTATCGGTAATGCCACTCTGCCTATACTAAGCACTACTATGTGGCTGCTGGTCGGACGCAAGAGAGAGCCCAGCGGAACAAAGGGACGAGTGAGTTCCCTAACGCGATCGGTCAGCATCCCTCTACAATTACATGTACACATACATGCAGATCACAGATGGTATGTATTCTGAGTCGATACAACGAAAAAAGGAAGAGGTTCTTCGGTAAAATAGAGTTGTACTCGAATAGCCACGTGATGTCCGTTCTACAAACAAGTGGCATAAACTCTATGGAAAAGGTGTTATTCCGCACTCCGGAAATATATACTAGCTAAAAGCCCAGACATATTTCGCTGATGCTTCTGCTGCTGCGTTCACCATCCCTCAGGAAAATAAGAAAGAGGGGGCGGGTTCGTGGACCAGATTATTTTCGTACTGAAGCCTCGGAAACTTCTGCATTTCCAACACCAGACTAGTGCGGTGTCTGTTTCTTCTGGTAATGATTTACTGAACGCCGTATTATAGGAGCGCCCAAAACACAAACTTTGATCTGCCTCTTGGCCGTTGATTAGCTTGGATCCCTCCGTAACTAACCTCTGGCAAGCTCGCATGGACAATGCCTCTTTCGCGAACATTGTAACTGCAGCAAAATCAGTGTGGTTTTTGCCCCCTCTCCCTCCGACCACCCTTCCTACCACCATCTGGTGGATTGCTCAGTCGTCACAGCTCGTACGGATAGTTTTCGGCCAGTTGAGCGCTTCGGCGAGCAAGTAATCTATGTTTGTAACTTGACCTCCGGCTGGATCCTTCCCTCCTCTCCGCGGGACTCAGCTGTTGGGCCTGTCCCTCTGACTCTGTCCGAACTGGCTGGAAACTTGTGCGTAACATCTGGAAAATAACAACGACGCGCATCTACTGCCAGTTAAATGCGCACAATGTAAGAGTAGTCCTACGTCATATCGTTTCCTTATGTAGCAATCCAACATCCCAGTTGTCCAAGTGGCTCTACCAACGACTTTGCCTATTTATCGATGCTTCGGAGTGGGCAGTGGGATCGGCTGAGTAGTTCCTTGTAGGTATAAGGCATCAAAAATAGACACAGACGAGATGAAACAGCTCCAGCGAGTGCACGCCATCGACGTCCTTGAACTGTGACTTAGGACTTCCTTGGACTTAATGGTCAGGCCCATGAGCGAAATAGTGAGTACTGGTGCACTAGTCTTCGTTCGAATTGGTTTCTGCGACGGTTTCCTAGAGGCTCGAGCAACTAGTCCTTGGCCCTTATCCAAAGAATGCTGAGCAGTATACGTCGAGGACACATTTGTCGTAGTCTAGCGAAGTGACGTGCACACCTACATGACAATACGGACTTCAATCTTTATCAGTGTGCGTTTTGCCGTGGTAGATGAAGTCGACAAGTAGTTGGCCTTCCCTAATGTATAAGGCCCAAAGATAGCAGGCAGGAAGATAAGGCAACTGTTTACGTATGGCAACTGACATTAAGTGCATTCACGAATTTACGAGAAAACACTCCGTCAGTACTAAACGGAGATGCGTCATAAGTCTCTTCTTGCGAGTTCAAACACAGCGTGACGACAATAACGGGAGGAAATATGCTTGCATTAACTAGTTGAAACCAATGTTTATCTAACGTCCTGAAATCCAGTCCCGCGTTTGATTAACGTCGGCAAAGCTAGTGTGCAGTCTATTTTCACAAGAGGCCAGCGATCGACGATCACCAGAATACCAAAGTCGAGTAATCATGATGAATCTAGTGTTGTAGAAGAACGCAGATAGTACACCGTGCAGGCGTAAATTGAAAGAGACAACCGAAATATAAGAGCCCTGTAAAGCCTATACCGTCAGACATCATGTTTTAGCGGAGGGCGGACCCAAAGATGGTCATCGTAAATGTAAGCAACTCCGTGATAGACATGGGCCCCGCAAACCCAGTAGTAAGTTCACAAAGAAGTAGTGTGATAGACAAAGTCTTAGCAGACGTGGTCCTGGCCGGAGGATCCGAAGCGACGCCAAGAAGTCAACTACCAGATCAGCAGTTTAACAAGAAAAAATATCTACGAACGTAGCCCGAAAGGTATCGCTTAAAACTTCCAACAGTAATAGAAAACAGGGCACATACACAAGTTTTCCCAAAGAAACATTATTGCGTAACTATCCGAGGAGTCCCTGAGGCCTCTGGTGAATCCCCAAAATAAAGGGTCAGACAGAATATGTGGGAATTCCATAATCTACTGAATGACCCCGAGGAACCCAGTGAAATGGTCAAGATCTAAAAGACTTTCCGCTTGAAGGCATTAATTATGAGCAACGCAGAGAGAATAAGACCAGTAAAGATCGTCCTAAAAAAAAACAACAGACAGATCTCATATTGTCTCGAAAGTCAAGATTATGGCACAATTATCCTGGAGGTTTTTTTTAACCGGATGACATCCCTGTCGATCGGATGAAAAGGAAGCTACTGTTAGCAGAACTGAGCAAACGATGGAGAAATAAATCTGATGATAGTGGACAACCAAAGTATAGAAAGATGCGACATAATTGTGAAATCATCCGGCGAAAATGAAGATAAAGAAACCGAAGTTCGCTCTAATCAACCAGGTGTAGGTAGGTCGGGATCGGACAGTGGACTGGATATGATCCGGAAAATTTTGTATGACAAAGCATGTAGAAATAGACCGCAGAGATCGACAGAACAAAAAATTGCAGTAATGCTGCACACAAATGTGCAGTCTACTCAAAAAGATGGGCGAAACCAAACGATCACACCCCATTTCAGAACTAACTACATCTCAGCTGCGTCAGAAATAATAGGAAGGCCTAGGAGGAAAAGTGGGCTTCAGAAAAAGATATCTCCGATGTCCACATGCCGGGTATTTGTGTGATCCTAGAAAAAAAAACGATCAAATGTCGGAAACACCTAAAAAAGGACCGCGCAGCCTTTGAGTTCAGAGAATAGCCAAAGAGATCTCAAACAATGCGAAAAAAATCAGCTTTAAAGCCGAGAACACATTCTTGGACTGCAAAGCAGAATACTGCTGAAAAAATCGAGCAAATGCACTAACACCTCGACTAGCTGACGTTTCCATCGGCCGACATACATCATTTTAGGAAAGGGACGCGACCAGTCAGATCAGATCAGATTTATTAAGGGAAAGGTAGGCAAGCGCCTCTGAGATACGCCGTCAGATACGAGGTTTATTCACCGGACGTCTAGGATTAACATTCGAGAATGAATCGGATGAGGGTAACGTCCTGTACATCAGGTTGTTACTGCGAGCTTTTAATTCTATTAGCTGTTTTCTGGATCACTATGGTTTTAATGACGGGGGTGCTTGTACTCAGCGGTATTCTGTTGAGTCGGTCCTTAATCGTCTGGAGAACACAAAATCGGTAATAACAGGCGGCCTCATTTATGGGGGAAAATGTCCGTCCCACTCATCACCAACAGAAAGTAATAAAGTTTGGTATGACTATAAGAACGAGTAAACGTAGCGCGCGCAGTGCCTAACGTGTCGCTATCGCCGATTTCGGAGTATCTCGAAAAATAGATATTTACTCGATATCTGGATAGCGAACAAAATCGACATCTAGTAGATATAAATATCTCGGAAAATAGATATCTACTAGATATTGTCTCGATATAGCTTGCTACTAGGGTTTTTGTCGGCGGGTTGCCCACCAGCAGTTGGTCAACAGATACCAGTACGACCTCTTCTGATGATGAGTCGGTCTTGATGACTGTGCCAATGCACATTGAACCAGATTAATCTCCTACGGTCCTATCAACTGAGAAGGAGTTAGGCGCACGTGACGAACTGATGACCTGGGCTGTACGTTCCCAAATACCTCACGAACACCTGACAGTTGTCAGACTTAAGCCTCCTGAAGATTATGAGACTGATGACGCCAGGCGACGTGTCTGACATGTATTTCATGCAAGGACAAGCCCTTGGATGCACGAACACTTCTGGATATAACAATTGATCTGCCACCGGTAAAGGCATTGGGCAAAGGCGGTTTTACGTTCCTAAGTGAACGTATACGCGTTCCCAAGTTGAACGCGTTCAACTTGGGAATTGTAAAACAGTTGACTGAGCAGTTACGTGTCTCTCCCATGCATATGTTAGGTGAGGAAGTAGTAGCTTTCTTAGAAATCGACGGTCCTCATATCAACACATCATGTATATTTGTACTAACGCAGCGTGGGAATTTTGTAAGCCTACCGCAGATTGCTGAATATGCAAACTCACACCAGACATTCAGTCGATTAAAACAATATAATAGAATATTTTTCAAATTGCTTATTAGTACGCTTGCCTCATGCCTTCAGTCAGTGACTAATGTCCGTACATGTTTCTCTTGCATTTTTGCTGAGTCGGTACAATGAACCGAGGCCATCGACTCAACAATGTCTTACCATTTCGTATTCATTACACCCTTAGGATTTTAAATAAGTCTTCCGCCCTCACTGCTACTCATACCTTCACTGCAGTGAAGGAGGGGTATTAGCTATAAGTATACTGGCCGGTAAACGCCAATACAATAGTGGTTGGGTCTGAACTCGTTTATAACTAATATGAATAGTCTGCCGTTTGAATGAAAAAAAATAGTTACTTTGGCCTCGGCCAGAGATGAACACAAGGCAACTCGAAATGAAACACATCCATCGCACCCTATGCTCTCTTTGTAGTTAACGAGCCAGTGGAAGCTCACTTCCGAAGCCAGCCTGACTCCCAGGATTTGGTGCGTTTCGTTCCCATCGGACCTTACCATATTGCCGCCAAACCCAAACCTTATGTGTCCATGTACCTGCGCATATCTCTCTTTAGAACCTTACTCTGCCCACTTGGAAAGTTGTTCAACGCACTACATGTAACTTGGAATTCCTACCTCACGCACGTCATCCTCTGCCACACCATCCTTAATTTATTATAATTCTTGCGAATTACGTCATTTGCTAGTCAACATCACAATTCGTTGTGGTGTAGAAGGCGATCCGACCTTGTTTGTTTTGCAGAACGACATGAGTTCCGATTCTTTCCGCTTTTCATTTTTGACTTCATCTAGTGAACGTGCCGTAACGTGGACAAGCGCCAGCGGTCAAGACGAACGCGCAGGGAGTGTCAGAGGAACAAGTCATGTCGGACTTATTACCTCGGTGTGGTATACTATGTCGGGTCAACCTCTGGGGACTTTAAATATTGGAACTTAATAAATTTTGTACAACTGTATCATCTTATTTTATGCCTGAATCGCCGTTTGCTAGTAGGGACAACGACGGATTGCCTGCTTGGCACTCGAACCAAGAAAAAAAGTAAATTGGCAGGACACACGGATAAGGAACTCAATTCATGTCGCTCTGAGTAGCCATACATTACAGTAGGACCAGATAAGGTCAAGTTTGGTAAAATTGGGATTGAAAGAAGCAGTCGGAGGGCAAAGACTGGAATCATGGAGACAAGAACTGGACGTCTCTTTTAACTGTATCTTGTAGTCGCCGAACCAGATGCGAGAACCAGTGGATTTGGTCCTTCCGAAGCCTCAACTACTTCCCTTTGATCCTCAGAAAAGTGTGCACTCGTTGGCACGTGTTTTCTTTTTCCCTTTCTCCTCAGTCTTACCAATAATACATTGTCACACTTTCTAGATATTCTTCTTTTATCAAGGATAAATCACTCCGTCGGGATATTGCTTGATTGTGTGATGCCGAAGAAATTGAAGACCACCACCTCAGGAGAGAAGAAGCCGGCGTCTTCGTTACCCAGTCTCGTCAAGACAACGGTCACTGAATCAGGCCGATTAGCCCTACAGAATGGTTGAGTGGTCTGCTTGCTACGTTTTAATCAAAGTTATTCCAATGTACCTATTGTGAATATATGCTGAATTATAAATTCTCACATTTAACGTTCATTCAGACCTCGCCTTTAATGGCATTCGCGGAATGTACTTGCCCTGTTGCTGGAAATTTCCCCTAGCAATTCTTTTACTCCTTCAAACTATTCGGGTATTACTATGTAAAGAGGACAGGCTAAATATGTCAGCCATACGTTCTGTAAACTAATAACCTCTGTCTGTCATGCATGGTAACAAGTTCTCAGAAGAAGGAAAAAAGTTTAGATGTAAGAGATGGAGGCGTATGTGAACACTACAGGGTGGCATTACGGAAGAAAACAGAAAGGACCGTATCGCACCCCGAGCATGGGTGAGTTACTTAGGTTACTTCGAGTTACTTTGGGATCGGGCCCACGATGAAAACGATGTGATCGCTTGGGTAAACATGCCTGTACACCTTACCCCTCAACAGTCATTGACACCCCCAGCAACTAACGTTAGCTACTGACTTGTCAGCTATCTCCCGTCCCCGATTAACCCCTTCTGCGACCCTCCCCTGCGGCTGCCCGCAGCCTTGACCACCTTACCAGTGGTCTAGGAGACATGAGGAGACACTGCCAACTCCAAGTGGTACAGCTTTATGCATAGCACATTCATTTTTTCTATCATTGCATTACCCTGATATTTTAACGCATTTATTGCCAGAAATATAGTATTTTAATCCTACTACATTTTACATTATCTGTGGTGATTATCAGTTTTGCAAATTGCAATCGTGGTCTGGCATTTTGCTTGATCCTGTGTTCGTCGTCCTTATTGACGCCGCCCGCTATATCATTAAAGGTTTTGGAGAAAATATGGAAAGTTTCCTTGGCGGAGACATGATGGTCTCAGGTCATCACTTCTCATGTTTCACTTGGTGCAAACAGGATGATCGTATACCGGCCCAAGTTACTCCAGTCATCACTGGCCGTATTTATGGGTTGGCAACTAGTTGTTTTTTGTATTTTTTTCTATAAAACACTTTGTAGAAATCCACTGTCAGTCATTTCCTTCTTAATTCTACTTATTCCTAAACTGGCCTGACAGGAATATACAGTAGAAACCCAGAAATCATTCTGGGTCAGGTCGTGGAGGACGCTTGCTTGTGCTTTTCCAGAGGCGTACGCAGCCCCAATTGCTGACGGTTTGTCCTCGTTTTTGCCTGTATCGTATTCGAAAAACTAGGTATTCAAAGCTATCTCACTGCAATCATTCTTCATAAAATCCTCCTTCTCTGAGGTCTCGATTAATATGGTGCGTTGGATTTTGCATACCGAATACGAAAGTATTCGCAACCAAAATTCCACATAACCTAAACATATCGTCAGTGGAATCGGTAACATTGCCCCATGAGGCAAGCAAAAGTGATATTGACCACCAATTCTCCACACGCCTACAGCTCTCGGGTGACATTGCTAAGAATTATCTGGACAGTCTCCGTCCACTAGTTCTGCCCACCTTCTCCAGTAGCCCTGAAAATCTTACGGAAACGTTTCTGGCAATCCATTGCCGCGCTGATATGCTCAGAATTTATAAGAACAGCATTCCGATTTCTATCTTGCTGCCTGTTAACGGTCGACGAGGACAAGAGTGACGAGTGTTCAAAGTTATCCCACCTAGTCCAAATTATATTTTGCGAAATTTCATTAGATATGCCAGATAATCAGGCTGTGGTCTTCCGGAAATTTTCTATATACGTTGTCGACAAGAATCCGATGATTGACGCCTTGGCAGTTGGGAACATGGTCATTGACTCAGAGTGGAGTAAATGGAGTTGCCCAAAGCATATAGTTGTACAAACTGGAAATGTAAACGTGCAGACCAATGAGGCCGTAATAGACAAGCATGGTTTACGCCATGGTGTGCCATGAAACGAATACCTACCAGAAAGTGCCACTGCTGTAAGCGAGTAATATTGACTACAGCGCAGAAAAATCTCACCATATGACAGTCACATTAGCACAAGGCCCATCGGGTTCTCCTATATCCTGTCTTAGGCAGTAACCACATTTAGTAAAAAGATCAATTTTCCCTGCTGATTTTGGATTTTCGGAGAAATTCAAATATAGCTTATAGAAATCACAAGAGAAATATCACAAGAAGAAAATTGGCTCTCCGCAACAGGTTTGTTTAACTACTGACGTTTCAAAGAGCTGGGTCGGCTCTTCATTGTCAAAGCGTAAACTGCACCTAATCGATCAGAAATTTAGTTTAAAGTGGCAAGCTGTGTTGGCCGGCCTCATGCTGATCGATTTTTCTCTCTCCTCACGCTGCGTCGGCCTCTCAGGAAATGGTTGACGGGCGTTTTTGCCTGTGCGCTTTATGAGTCACCACACCGTCGAGGGGAGCTGATTGGACTTTAGTCGGGCGGTCGGTCTGGCGGTTCTTGTTCTTCCTCACCGAGTAAGCTCAGCGTCGGGCTATCTCCGTGCTGTCTTCTTAAGTCCGGTGTGGTTGTTTGGTCCTGAGCTCTACGGTTGTGATGACGTAGGACTTTGTAAGCTGCAGGAAGGTCCAGATGCCTGTTGATAGAGTGGGCATCGGAGAACCACGCCTCGAGAGTTAGCCGTTCTGTTTTTGTGTTGCCTCGGCCTAAGATGGTAGCCCTCTGGAGGTCAAAAGTATGCCCCGTTTCCCCAACGTGTGTTGCTAGTTGAGAGTTAGGGTCTAACCTCCGAGTGGCCGATTTATGTTCTTGTAGGCGAGTTTGCAATTTCCGCCCAGTTTCGCCCACATAGTTGTAGTCGCCCTCATTGCAATTTATTTTGTAGATGACTGCTGAGGTTTCAGCGGGTGGCAATGGGTCTTTAGGTTGCATCAGGCGACGTCGAATAGTTGCTTGTGGTCGATGGGCTATGCCTACTCTGGTGGGTTGTAACAGTCGCGAGACCGCTTCAGAGACCCCTTTAACGTAAGGAATGGCCCTCCAGACTTCGGGTTGCTGCTCATTTGGCCGTTGTCTGGGCGCCCAACGTCTGCTTCTCTCAATGAAATGCCTGGGATAACCATTGGCTGTAAATAGGTCCACAAGGTACGATCGTTCGGCCCTTTTATCTTCTGGTGTGCTGCAGTGTGTTTCGACTCTTTGGAATAGAGTGCGGACACAAATACGTTTGTGAGACAGTGGATGGTTGTTGTTAAAGTGTAGGATCTGTCTCGTGTCGGTGGATTTTCGGAATACTGTAGTTTGCAGCTGTCCAGTGGTACACCGGCGCACAAGTACGTCAAGGAAGGGCAGTTGGTTGGTTGTTTCCGCTTCCATCGTAAATTGTATATCCGGGTCAACCGAGTTCAGTAGTCCCTTTAGGTGTTCTATGTCAGTTGTTTTGACAACGACGAAGGTGTCATCGACATAGCGGGCCCAGAACTTTGGTTGATATTTGGT